TCCACTTAGTTTTTGTATTATTGTTATTCAATAGAGCTTTCTCTCTCATTTGAAAAAGTTTAATTGACATGAAAGTGGCCACCCTCCCTCCCACACGCACAGAGTACGAACATGTTTTCCTTAGCATTCCAAATCAAAGAGGAAATTGTCCTTCCTAAGTAGGGCTTCCAGACACTGGAAGCTGGTCTTGTCCTTTTTGTAATAAATGACAAATTAGAGTTATTCATTAGGAATATCCCACCAAAAAGGGTCATTATCTTCATTTATTGTCTCGAATATCAACCTGAAAATCACCTTTCCAAATTTCTTTAAGAATTTTCAGAAAGAGGTCTATTTAGAAGATCTCAAAACTAAGATATACTGATATGATTAACGGTCACCTGCAAACTTAACAGGTTTGCAGTGTTGCCATTTTGTCCATTTACTAAGTAAATCTAAAACATAAGATTTCAAAGAAATCTGTTTTTAAAAATTATGTATATAATACAAATTGTAATAACAACACACAACATATAGCACTCATTATAAGCAAAGCGTTGTTTTACAACATGCTTTCCATATATTAACTCATTTAATCTAACAAGCACATCTGTAGGCTAAGGGAAAAGCACAGACTGTAAAAGGGTGACAGAAAAGCCATCCACTGGTCACATGTCCAGGCAACTGCAGGTGGGCATTTTAGGGAATGATACGTCCGCTTCAGATTTCTACCTCTCAGCTAAGAGGGATTCAGTTAGACTTCCTAATTGCATAGTCACCCACCCATATTCTAAACACTGTTCTTGTCAATGTGAAGCTGTCATCTGATGCTAACCATGCAGGACAGTATGGCTGCAATCAAGTATAATTGAGTTCCATGTGTTCCCACCCAGGGGGTTGTTCCTGATCTAGTTTCAACATGTACAGTTCCCATCAGGAGGCTTGAGTGGTTTCATCAATCGCCCACCAATTTTCAGCCGGGAAAAGTAATGACATTGTGTAAAAGGGAAAATATAGCTTGAATATTCTTTTTATACAACTAAGTTGAGGAAGAGAACAGCCACCATTTATGTTCTATTTTGTGCCTGGCATTGCAGTAGGTGCCCAAAATATTACTTTTAATTCATGCAAGAACCTGAAAAAGTAGGTGACATTTTAATGTCAAAGATGAAGAATCTGGTAATCATAAAGATTAACTGAAGAAGCATTCAGGGTAGAATGAGACTGAAGATGGGAACTTTCTATTTTTTGCTCCCACAGCTTAACTTAGCAGTGGGTGCACAGTATAAACCAATACTACTTGATCAATTATGAAATTGACAATCTACCAAATATACAACTTCCCTCTTCATTAAGAGTTCTGGGGGGGCCCTGGCCGGTTTGGTTCAGCGGTTAGAGCGTCGGCCTGCGGTCCTGAGAGACCCGGGTTCGGTTCCCGCTAAGGGCGCGTACCTCGGTTGCAGTTTGTCCCCGGCCCTGGTTGGTTGTGCGGGTAGCAGCCACTCGATGTGTTCCTTTCACATCGATGTTTCTCTCTCTCTCTCTCTGTTCCTCTCTCTCCCTCCCACTCTACCTTAACAAAAAATGGAAAAATATCCTCAGGTGAGGATAAAAAAAAAAAAAAAAGAGTTCTGGGGGGAACCACATGGTAATTCAAATTTATCAAACACTTGATAGAAAGCATAATTTACTTGTATTCAAGAATATGCCAGATTTTTCCTGTTTGTTTCATTAATAGCCTTAGAAAGGCACCTAAATAATGAATATCGCACATTTTCAGAGAAGCAGCCATTTGAAGGGGTTGTGGGTCAAGGAGATCAGAGAACTTTCATATGTAAACACTCAGGGAGTGTGAAAGACATCTGTGTGCAACCCACCTGTGGAAGTGACCTTGTACACCTTTACCAAGATACTGCTATCACTTGCTTGAGGAGGAGTGAACGTCCATAGCAGATATTTTCATATCTGAATAACTCAGTATGTAGCTTTTCTAAAAAGTCAGTTTTCTAAATATGACCTGCTGATAATCTGAAATGATTTGGGGATATAACTAACGCTATCCAAAGTCTAATAACATCAGCAGGTACAATTTTTGTCCATGTTATTTTATGTATTCAAGATAAAATGCAAACAAGAAAAAGATATTTAAGAAAACCAGTAGATCCAGAAGCAAATACCTGCAGGTGGGACATTCTATAATAAAACAATATTCAGATTTGAAGACATTAACAGCACCCCTCTATTCCAAGAAAAATAGTTGAAAAATAGAAAAATTTATATATGCACTAAGAATCTCACAGAAACAGAGCCAAATCTACCAAAAGAGCAACACAACATCACTTATTAAAGATGGGCATGAAAATATCATAGGGCACTGGACAGAACAAGTCAATGTAGAAAAGAGATCTCACTTACAAAATGTAATATAGAAAGAGAAACCATTCATGGAATACATTATGAAGACACTTTCAAGGAGAGGTAAGATCACAAGAAAAGCCTAAGGCAAATTATTCTATTGAAGCAACAGAATTTGAATTTTAAACAAGAGGAATCGATGAATTGAAAACTAGAGAGTAAGGAAAAAAAAAAAAAAAACTGGGGGAGAGGATCCAAAGTTAAACTAGGCTTGGTATAAGAGTCTTAAAGTAGCTGTCATGAGACAGAGGGGGTAGCTGCTGGTTCTTGTATACTGGACAAGAGATTTTGTTACAGTAGAACAACATTAAAATTTATACAACAAATCCATGCAGAGGGCAAGGCTAACAGAGTTTCAGCTTCATGAAGCTTCCCTTCTGGTGGGGGGATGCAAGCCATTTATGGACAAGGAATGAACAGAGAAGTAAACACGATTCTTTCACATAGTGTTAGTGTGGTAAAGAAAACAAGGCAGAAAGATTATCTGGAGTATGGCTATTAACAAGCTGCTCCTCACTTTCCATTGTGCTATAATGTTTAACAAAGTCTACAAAACTCACGTGAATGAAAAGGACAGGAACACCACAAAAGTTTCATCTCTCTCTCTCTCCTGCCTCTCTCTCCCCCTCCCCCAGTCCTGGAAAAGGGCAAGACAGTACACTGGTCTATAAGGAATAGTTAGTAAGAGCTACAAGCAAAGGCTAAAAGATTCTGATCCTTTACCTGTGCAAAGGAAGAAGAAATAAATGTGACAATTTTAAATGCAACTAGAGAGCGTTCTCCCAACAAGGGAGAACTAGGTACTCAAGGTGAAGACTCAATAGTAAAGGATGGTAGCCTATACTCACATGGCAAAAAGAGTCAGCCCAGAGGAAAATCATTATGTAGTATATTTAGTAAGAACCTGCACTATTTTCAGCTCTTTGTTTATTCTGTGGAAAATGTTGACAAAATTGCTCTCTGAAAAAACTCGAATTGGGAAAACAAACATAAACACACACACACCCTTGTACAACCAAACACCAGACTTTGTTTTATGAACAATCTATGCTGGAAGATCTCAGAGAAGATCAGATACAAAGAGAATGTCCTGGCTGGGCATGTGAGAATAGGAGAAATGGGGAAAGAAGAAATTTGAGGGAGAGAGAAGGCAAAAAGAGATGGTACTGATATAATAGATAAAAACAACAACTTCCTTCCTTCCTCCTTTCTTCGACACAGAGCCAATGAGAATACCAATGAAAACAAAAGCAGGATCTTGGCAAAGGGGCCCAGGAAGGTATCTGGACTCTATCTGTCCAGATAACCAAAACAGAATGTCTATGAAGGTCAATAAACTGGAGGAATGGAATGGACGGTCAGCAGAATTCGAATAATTGTGCATGAAAGAAGATTCTGGAGGCTGAGAATTTTGATGGTGGGGTAGAGGTAGAGGAAGGAGGCTGAGAACACACCAGGCTAGATCTCCCAAACCTTCTGCTGAGACAGCACTGCTAGGTCTCTGTTCCTCACTGGCACTCAGGAGCTGCTCTGAGTGGTTCGAGTATGAAGCTAAAATCAGTGGGGAGTAGTGATATTCAAAAGGAAATGCAAGATATGTATCCTGAATCATCTTTTGAAAAATCCAAATATCAGGATGAGTAGATTTACATTAAAAGGATATTCTTCACAACATTACAAATGAGTTATTTTATCGTGATGTGAAGGTTCTTAATGTTCTAGGCGACATCTACGGAAGTCATGAGTTAGCTGATAGTGGTTAGTCCACATCTGCCTCACTCATTCTGCTAAAAGAAAATCATCAAATTTTAAGAAACACTGCTTTACAAAGGGATCTGTGGAAATGACCCTAATACTTGGTCTGATGAATATCTGAAATACAATCCAGGCTATGATTAATTTTCTGGGATCACAGGCAGCACTTAAATAAAAAGGAGAGGAAAGGGTATAGGTCTCAATGGAAACAGTATTTATGCGCTGGTCATGTCACACCACATCACACGGGAGGGAGAGAAATCATGCATCAGCTTGAGGAAAAATGCATCAGCTTAAATTTTAGGGAGACATGGCATGACTCAAATACTCTCTATTAATATAGCAAGGACTCTACCTGCCATTTGCTTTACTGCTGCATAGTAGTCTCACTTCCAAAATTCAGAAATATATCATTGAAGATAATTTGCTGGTAGAGTGAGTGGTGGGGACTTTTTTGGCAGTAGAAAGGTCAAATAATTTTCCTCAAGGCACTGCAGTTTTTAAGCTTTACAATTTTGCTATAGGTGACCAAAGCAAAGCGCATTATAATGTTATACACAAAAAATTATGTTGTGAGTTAATGGAATGTGAGCAGTAACATACCAGCCTCTGTATTACCCCTTCTACTGCTCTTTCTGGAATATATAATCTCGGTGAGTTTTATTTTTAATTTGTTTTTCAATAAATGTGGAAAAAATGTATCCATGTAAAAAGCAAGAATCCGTATCTCACAACAAGGCATTCTGTAATAGGATGGGCTTGTAGTAATAAATGCAGGGCATTTCTAAGGACTAGAGCATGCAACAAAATTTTAGAGTAAGCAAAGAAAGTAAGAAAAAAAATCGACTAACCTAACCCACCTGAGCTCGGCTCACAGGGGTCAATGTCCTCATCATCGCTGGGACACTCTGCTGAGGCCACAAGGATGTCATCTGTGGTCTGCAAAAGAATCACATTCAGTAGATTAATATAAGGATCTTGATAGAGATGCTCATCTCTGCCTCATTGACAAGTGAATATTATTTATGGTTACCTGACAGGTTGAGAGATCAAATTCAGTATTTCCCTATTCAACAACACAGAACTTACCTCCCCCCCCCCCAAGTTATTCTAGATTTCTCATGGAAGTATTTGCATATTTGTGAAAACATAGTTACAGCTTAGTTTACATAAGCACATGGAAATGGTGGTAGCCAACCCGTAGATATCCATCCTTTCAACGGCACAGAGAAACTGCACACAGTAGCACAGGTTTAACACAACCTAACAGAGACAGATGATTTGAAATTTATTACAGCCCTGGAGTGCTACAATGTATGCATCAGTAGGTTTTATGTAGTACTTGTGGGTGGCTTCCTAAAAGCAGAATAGCTATAATCTTTTACATTCATGACCAGGTACAATTTGAGGAATCTTTGAGATATAGCCTGTCGTTATTAGGAAATGGAATACCTTTCACTGATGTAAAAAAGGAAGCAACCCTAGTCTATTTAAGTTATGTTAAAAATTTGTTTTGGCTTTTACACTGAATTCTCATTTTTGTAACATTCTTGTAGCAGATAGCTTGTCCCCATTGTTCTTTTTATCATTAAGGTTTCATAATAAGTGAAAAGCATATTTGGGGGGGATGGTATTTTACAGTAAATAGGAAAGAGGTGAGTTTTTTCTGTGACATTCTAGTTGCTTCATTGCACTTACAGCAAAAAAGATAACGAGCAGTGTAATAAAAAGCCGAGTGTGTAAATCCTAGCGGTTAGTCACATAATCAACTCCTTCACAAGGGCTGAAGGTTGTTCTTTATAGCCATGTACAAGCAGCAGTAAACTCGGCCTAGTTATTGCATGGAAATTGTGAAGGTTTGCATCAGATTCGGCTAATGCTAAAGGGGATTCAGGTACAGGAAGGAAAATATCTCATTACATCAGCTACGGATTAAGGAGATTATAATCGTTTAGACAATACTCAGAACTGTGACATTAATGAAATCCTTATTTAACAATGGAATTAATATAGGCTGTAACTACCTATGGTGATGCATGTTAAGTAGACTTATTGTGGCGATCATTTTGCAATATATATAAATAGTGTATCATTATGTTGCACACCTGCAACTAAGATGTTATATCAGTTACACCTTGGTAAAAAAAATAAAAAATAAAAAAAATAAGCCCTGGCCGGTTTGGCTCAGTGGTGAGAGCATGGGCCTGCGGTCTGGAGAGACCCAGGTTCAGTTCCCGCCAAGGGCATGCACCTCGGTTGCAGTCTGTCCCTGGCCCTGGTTGGTCGTGCGGGTGGCAGCCACTCGATGTGTCCCTTTCACGTCGATGTTTCTCTCTCTCTCTCTCTTCCTCTCTCTCCCTCCCACTCTATCTGTACAAAAAATGGAAAAATGTCCTCGGGTGAGGATAAAAAAAAAAAAATTAAGTCTTATTTTTTTTTAAAAAGCAGAAATATGATATGACTTGCTTCATTAAAAGAATATCTAATACAGTCCAAGATTAAAGCATAAATAAATGTCAAGAAAATGATGCCACTTTGAAAAATCGAGACAAGGGATGATGTACTTTTGTGACCAAAAAAATGAGGCTTAAAAATCTTTCAAGTGCAGGATCTTTAATTAAGAATAAAGAATGTAGCCCTGGCCGATTTGGCTCAGTGGTTAGAGCGTCAGCCTGCGGTCCAGAGAGACCCGGGTTTGGTTCCCGCTAAGGGCATGTACCTTGGTTGCAGTTTGTCCCCGGCCCTGGTTGGTCGAGCGGGTGGCAGCCACTCGATGTGTCCCTTTCACATCGATGTCTCTCTCTCTCTTTCTCCGTTCCTCTCTCTCCCTCCCACTCTACCTGAACAAAAAATGGAAAGATATCCTCAGGTGAGGATAAAAAAAAAAAGAATAAAGAATGTGTTCAGCTACTAATGCTTCAAAATATAATTTTAATTAAACACAAGCACTTAAATAGTACCTTGAGACCATTTTATATTATTCTGGTCTTAATTCCTCTGAGACAATTAGGAGACTAGGTTAATTCATTTTGCTGCTGTTATTTTGTTTGTTTGTTTTGTTTTTATCCTCACATTTTTCCATTTTTTGTTTAGATAGAGTGGGGAGGGAGAGAAAGAGAGAGAGAGACATCGATGTGAAAGGGACAGACACATCGAGTGGTTGCCACCCGTACGACCCAAACAGGGCCAGGGACAAACTGCCACCGAGGTACATGCCCTTAGCGGGAACCAAACCTGGATCTCTCTGGACCTTAGACAACGCTCTACCGCTGAGCCAAACCAGCCAGGGCCATTTTGCTGCTGTTATTTTAAATGACAAAGTTCAAAGTATCAGTTTCCCTGGAATTATAATTGTTCATGTTAGAGATAACTACCAGCAATTGGTGTGATAGTGTCACACAGGTACCCTTCATTACAGTAAGCTTTCAAAGACAAAAAACCATCCTCCTTTTGGCACAAACACATCTTGCAAGCTAACATCCAAATCAACTCAATAATAACGTTATTGGATTATGAGGTCTTGCAGGCCAATTGTTCCAATTTGCCCCAGAGCAAATTCTTTCCTCTTTCTAGAGCTAAGTTCAAGTACAAAGCTACGTTTTTCTTAACCACAGTAGATCCTCTTTAAAATTAATTTCAGGGTGACAAGAGAATTTCTCATTTTCCTTGAGGAATGTTAACTGTATTAATGAAATCAATAGAGGGTGGTTGTTGTTGAGTTCTTGATAGGAGGATGTGAACACATTCTTTGATCTACGGCTTCTCATCCCAGTAGTGATGGCCCGCCTTTCCTCTCCACCGACTGGGGGACATTTGGCACTGGAGGCATTACAGATTGACACAATTGGGCTGAGGCTGTGGGGTGTGGTGGAATGTGTCAGCTTCCAGTATTGACATCTGATGGGTAGAGACCAGGAACGCTGCAGAATATCCTAAAATGCATGTGACAGCCCCCCACAACAAAGAATCATCTGACCCAAAATACCAATAAAGCAGAAGCTGAGGAACTCTGATTTCAGGGTATATAAACTATCCTGTGTCTTATTTTTCTCACCTGAAAAGTTGAAAGGCATGATAGTTCCTATTGTAAGAATTAAATTAGTACACAAACAGGACCTAGAATAGGACCACATTGTAAATGCTCATAAAAGTTGCAACATTATCAACATTGTTATTATTTCACAAATGTAGAACCAATTTAATCTTATTTTGCATTATATTTATAAGTAATACAAGTTTAAATATTAAACTGAAGTTGTACGGGTAAGATCTCATGTTAATATGTAAACAAAATACAGTAGCTGTATTGGCGCTTGGTTGAATTAAACTTCCCTGTTCTGCCTAGGTTCAAATTCTGAATCAGAAGTCAAACACCAAGTATACATAATGAAGGCTGCTTCTTGAAAGAAATTCATGGACTGAAAGTGTGTGACTCAGTGTCTAGTGTTTGATGCGGACTAAATTATTTAGCCACACAAGTTAAATTTTGTTTTAAAATTGACCTATTTTCTATGTTCAACAGCTTTTGGAACAATTCCATAGCAAGCAGAAAGTGTTAGAATGTTCTCAGTGTTATCTTTCACAAAACACAGTACCTAAAATAACAAAACATGTCATCCACTAAATAGTGCCTTCTGTAGCACTTTAAAGTAGGGGGAAAAACAAACAAAAAACCTTATTGTAAAACTATAATTTAGTTTTAAACGTACTTTTTTGGTATAATGCATATACATTCTTGTTTTTCATATTTTTCCTTCATAAATTAAAACCCAGCAATTGTCTTTAAAAAAAACCCACCCAGCAATAGTTTTGTGAATAAGAGATTTTAAACCAATAGATGCCTTGGCAGAAATCATTACTATGAAAAAAATCAAGAAGTGGCTCAAATGTTGGGAAAAAAAATTAAATTTCATTTTGGAGGCTGAATTAACTGAATAGTTTTCAAGCCCAAGCTGTGTAATTTAAATTTAATTCACTATGTTTGGAACTGCCTCTCTATAGAATTGCCTCTCGATGACATGCTGTTGAGAGAGTGGCAGAAAGAAACTCAAATATGTCACATTAATCACTTTTATTCTTTAGTGTACCTTTTTGCTGATGCTTATAACCTTTTTCAGAAAAGAGACTACCTGCTGAAAGAGACAGAATAGTGATCAAGCAAAATCACTTAGATAACTATTCATTTAGATGAGTGTCCTACTATCCATTTAACCACTCAGAGGTCAAAGTGCCATGCTGATCTTCCTGAATTCAGAGAGGTCTGTACATTCACACAACATCTGTCCCTTCTCAAAATGTCTACTAAAAACACTGAGGTCTTTTTACCTTTAAGAAAACAAACAAACAAAAACAACAACAAAAAAACGACTTGAACACATTTCAAGAAATAAAGGCACTGAAACTTAATTCATTCTATTTAATGGGTAAACACCAGTATGTTATAGGCTACAGAAATGGAATCAGGCAGAAAGGATGTTCTTAATGTCTAGTAAGAAGTTAGACCAGTCAGATGGATGCTAGATCTATTGGGGTGATCAACTTCATAAATATAAACATGTCTAATCACTATATTGTATACCTAAAAATGATTATATTATATGTCAACTGCAACTAAAAAATACATTTTAAAGAAACTTAGACCGATTTATTTAATATTCAGGGTTATTAGGAAGAGTCCATTTGGCAAGTTAGAAAGTAGAGAAACACTGATGTAGTTTTTCTTTTTTTCTCACAGGGAGTCTTTCCCTTCCCCACGTTTAATGGTGGAGTTTGCTGCACATTCACTTGCTGTCACTTTTTAAAATATAGCACAACTGCATATTAGTGTGGTAAAAAGATATAAGAAGATGCATAAATTTAGTATGAACTATTTTATCTCTGATAAGAACAGCATGCTTAAGACTTATTCTTCATGCTAAACATCTTCGTGGAAGACTGAT